CATGCTGGTGTTCTGCAGTGTGTGGGTCACCTTCCTCCCCGTGTACCACAGCACCAAGGGGAAGGTCATGGTGGCCATGGAGGTCTTCTCCATCTTGGCCTCCAGTGCGGGGCTGCTGGGCTGCATCTTTGCCCCCAAGTGCTACGTTATTTTGTTAAGGCCAGAGAGAAATTCTCTTCCTGGGTTCAAAGGTAAAACAATTTCTGGAAGAAAAAAGCCTTCTTAAATTAAAGTTCTATTCTTTTACTAAAATATATCTAGTGTCTGAGGCAATTCTGCACCATTTTCCAGTTTTATGTTTGAAACAGTTTGGGATTTACTACAATAAAGGACTATTACTTCTTTCTTCAATAGTCTTACAATTGTAATTGTCAGTAACTACATTTTTCAATTAGAGTTTTATTCTAGAGTTTTGTTCCCTTGATTCTACAAACAATCTCATTATTTGTGCTCAACTTTGATTATATTATACCCTTTTATTTTGTTTCCCCTGGAATGTTTACAGTTATGAATTTTTATACACTAACTTTTATTTATAGATCAATATTCCTGAATCCCCTAAAGCTTTTAAGAATTTCTCACATTAGTCTTTTAGTATTGCAGAAACCGCTGTTCATGTCACAACAAATACTTTTGAATTTAAGATGTAAGGTGTTAAATTTATACTTTATCTACGCTTACTTGTTAGTGTGTAGTAGTGATTTTTCCTATGCACAATTGCATGAACATTTCCACATACCCTTGTTTAATAATCCTTTGTCAATATGAATCATGCATCTGTATAAGTAGTTTCTGCGTTGTTCACATTTATATATAAATCAGTGGGGAAGGGAAACCACGCTGTCTGGCTGCACTCATGTTGCGGTGGAGAATGGGGGCTGGATAGGCAGGGAGCTCACTGCAGCAAGCTGCCCCCGTCCACTGGAGTGAAGAAGGAGCAAAGCGGAGGAAAGGGTAAGGCCTGCCTGCTGCTGGACAATCACACAGCCTCTCCAGCTGGAGAGGAAGTGAGTCAGGTGCTTTTACTACCACCAACTCCTGGGGGCTGTGTGTCACTTCCAGAGACTGAAATAATATTCCCGTTCAGGCGGAGACAGTCCTGTAGCGAAACGTAAACTCTGTTTTCTCATGATGGCTGAAATCCACCTTTGCCCCGTTACCATCGATGGTGACCCACACATTTCTTATGAGAACCTATTTTCTTTTCCTAAGATGTTTTTCTTTGAAAACAAGAATGCATAAATATGCCCACTGCAAGAGAAATCTATTAGTTAACCAAACCAAATATGGTAATAAAATTTCTTTTTAAGCAAGGCATTTTCTGCAAAAGTCATGATAAGCACTGAGTACCAGGGCCATTTCAGTAATAGAAAGCGAGGCTGAGACAGGAACCAGACCTGGGACCAGAGACAGAAAAGACACAGGGAAGAAATGGAGGCGAAGCACTCGAACTGCAGGTGTCCGCAGATAACAGCGGTGCAAACTACAAACCAGGACAGTGTTTTTAGCTTTTAGAACAACCGTTGAAGCAACCACTCCCAGAAAATTGGGCAAACACATAAAGCACTCAATATACTAAAATCAACCTTCGCTCTTTTCGAATAACTTGATCAAGTCAAACAACTGCTTAATGCGTCCTGTGTTCGGCGAGAGGGCCCGGACAGTCCCAAGAGGACTACACTAAGGCGGGGCGTCTCATCATAGATCAGGACCACAGATTCTAAGGGTCGGCGCAGCTCCGCGACTCTGCACCGGAGAGTAAGGGCGGGGAGAACACTGCGCAGGCGCAGTGCCGCACCGAGGACAAAGCCACGCCTCCCAGTTACGAGTGCACAGGCGCAGTGGAGAGGGGCGTGGCAACGTGCTCTGCGCCGCTGCGAGGTGACGCTGAGGAGGCGCGCGATTCCAATTCAGCCAGAGGTTCCAGGATCTCTCTCCCGCCTGGACCCAGCGCTGCCGGGGCCCTGGAGGAGCAGGTGAGCGAAGTGCTGAGCGGTGGCGGAGCTGAGGACGCGGAGAACGGGGTTGAGGAAGGTCAGACCCCGCGGTAGGTGGTCGCTAGGAGGGAGCCGGCCTTGCGCGAGCAAGGGGCGCGAAGTGTGGAGCGTGGGGGCGGGACCTAGTGATGGACGGGCGATAGGCCAATGGGGGAAGGTGGCGGGCTCGGGGGCGGGGCCTTCGGATAACTGGCGCGGTGTTCAGGATCATGATGGCAGCTCGCGGGGGTCTGGCCTTAAATTGGGGAATCTATGTCCAGGGCTTCCATACCGTGTTTCGTGATCGCCACTCGACCGTGCGGGCCACAGCCCCCGTGCGGAGCCCCACGAAAGACTTGGGCGGAGATCCTGCTTGTGCCCACAGAGCCCCCTGAAGAGGTCTGAGGTGGTGACAGGCGATGTCCTCAGCAGTGCTGAGTGAATCTGTTGCTGTGGGATTTGATCTCCCCTGTTGGGTAACAGTGGTTGGACTGTGCTGCTTCTGGAGTAATGGGATCCATAGTTACCCCCACAGGAAAGCGAAGTGGTTACTTTCGTTCTATATAGTTTTGTGCCGTCGTTCTAAAGTTGGATAGCGTAGTCTTGTCTTTTGCCTTCCTTGCCTTGGACAGAGGAAGGGTCAGGAAATAATGCTCAAGGGCATGAGGAGTAGCCGAGACCTTTCACCTCCTGGGCTCAGCCACCTGCTGCGTCAGCTTGATCAAGTACCTTTTTTGAGTCTCAGCTTCCTCACCTCTGAAAAAGCTGAAGGAAATACAAACCACACAAAGTTGTTGCCATTAAGTAGTGGCACTTGGACTGAATATTCAAGTCAGGACACCTCTCTACCCGCACCTGTGAAGAGCAGAAACCTCTGGTTACACCCCTCATGTCTAGCTGGCTACTTACCTATTCATCAGAATTTCATTGATCACCCTCGAGGTGCCCCTATCCTGGGACCTGGAAGCAGAGAAGAGCAAGACAGGAGAAGATTCCTCCTTTTATGTGGTTTATATTCCTCCAGCGAGGAGGAACAGTGGATGAAATAGGTTCAGATAGTGCTAAGAGCTATGGAGAAATAAACAAGGTGATACCATAAAGCTGCGCCCTGATGCAGCATGTGTGCATGCTGTGTGCCTGTGTGCGTTGGAATGTATTGGACACTGTGAGGGAAATTGGGGATGGGGGTGAGCTGAGTCCCGAATATTGGGTCATCATTTCTAAGGCAGGAGAACCAGCGATTACAAGGCCCAGGCTGATTAGGTCTGGCTCAGTTCCTGGGCAAACGCTGTGTAGACTGACCGGGAAGCTATCTTTAGAAAGAGGGAGTAGGCAACACTCATTATTCTTTGTTTTGGGACTGAGAACTGAGAAACATGAGAAAACCTTTTACCTGGCAGAGGTGATTGAAGAGGCTGTGTGCAGGGTTAAGATCAGGGTACTCAGAAAATAGGAGCGGGCGAAGGGAGCCAGAATGGGGCTCCATCTGGCATCTGACCCGATAGCAGAATAATCATCCGTGGTATTTTCTTACTGGTGAGGCTCCTGGAGCTGTCTGGAAAGCTGAGCAGGCTTGTGCTTCTCACCTGCAAGAAGTCCATCCTGCCAGTGACATGTGTTCCACATTTTCCCAGAGTCTCAGTTAATTTTTCAGTGGGTGTCATGTCAGTAAATATCTCTGGTACTTCAGCAAGATCTCTTGCAGCCATGGGAAGGAACTTGACGAAAGCAAAGGCAAATGTACCTGGTCTGAAGCACTGGTTTTCCTCTTCTTAGTTGTGATTTGAGGAATTACTTACTTTCTCCCCATCCTGCCTTCCCCAGTGCTTTAGAGTGAACCCAAGCCTTCTGCAGGCAAGTGCTGTACCACTGAGCCGCTGTCCCTTCTTTTTTAATTAGTTAATTTTATTGGTGCTTTGTAGATACACATAATGATCACATTCATCATGTGGAATTTGCACTTGTATATGATAAAGCCTGGTTCTTTTTTCCTCTTCCCTCCCTTTCCTTCCTCTGCTCTTCTCCTTATTTACAGAAGGTTTGTTTCCATTTTTCCTTCTATTCTGTCATTTTCTTTTCCCACTCACTCCCTTGTTCCCCTTCTCATTTTCTTCCTATTTCACAATATCTAAGTAAAGTAAAATAAATACCATGGACGACCATTCTGCCATCGGATCAGATGCCGGGTGGAGCTGCAATCTGTCTTCCTTCCTCTGCTCCTATTTTCTGAGTACCCGGATCTTTTGCCTGCACACAGCCTCTTCAATCACCTCTGCCAAGTAAAAGGTCTTTTTTTGTTTCGTCTCAATCCCAAGACAAAGACTGATGAGCACTGCATACTTACTTTGGTCCTTATACATTTTGCTCCTCATTTACATTTTCAGTTTTTCACACCAGAGAAACCATGTAATATTTGAACATGTGTGTCCGATTAAATTCACTTAAGAGTATGCTGTCAGTGTTCATCTATTTACTTTGAAATGTCCATATATTTATTTGCTGTTTCTGCTTCTTTATCTGAGAAGTGTGCAGTCATTTCAGATGCCCATTTTTGGACTGGGTCTTTAAATTTGGATGGTTGGATTGTATTGAGCGCTTTATATATTCTAGATATTAGCCCTTTGAGGAAGAGCTGGTAAAATTTTTGTCCCACTGGGTTGTCTGTTCACTCTGTTGGTGGTTTCTTTTGCTATGCAAAAGCTTTCTATTATGAGATCCCAGTTGATTTTTTTGTGGTGTTTTCTGTGTGGTTAGGGTGTTGTTCGTAAAGTCTTTGCCTACACTTATGTCTTCAAGAGTTCAACCTGTTGTCTCTTACAGCAGATTTAGTGTTTCACTTCTAATACTTAGATCTTTGATCCATTTGATTTTAGTTTAGTGCATGCTGAGAGATACAGGTCTAGTTTTAGTGTTTGGCATGTGGAAAGCCATCTTTTCCCCCACTATTTATTAAAGAGGCTGTCTTTCTTTCAATGGTGATGTTTGAACCATTTGTAAAAGACAACGTGGCTGAGTATGTTCAGAGTTGTTTCTGCAACCTCCAATCTGTTCCACTAATCCTCGGGTCTGTTATTTTCTCAGTTCTGTGCTGTTATTGTCACAGTAGCTCTATAGTATAATTTCCAGTCCTGCCTTGCTTTTGTTGCCCAGGATTGCTTTTGCTATTCTAGGTCTTTTCTGGTTCCAAATCAATTTTAGAAAGTTTTCTTTAATTCTGAGAGGTATGCTATTGGTATTTTTGTAACTAATAGCTATCATTTTATTTTGTTTATTTTAAAGAGAATAAAAAGTTTTTTAAAACATTAAAAACAATACAGAATTTCAAGACAAGATGATAGGAAATCAGCAATGGTTGTTATATTGCATATTGTTATCTTCAAAGTAGTTGTTCAGATTACCAGATATAAGCATGCAAAATTGATCAAAAAAATTAAGCATTAACTGTTCCTTTCAATTAACCAATAGAAAATAGTAGTACATTTATCTTAGCTATCTTGTGTATATATAAATACATTTTTTCCCTTTTTCTTTTCTCCTTTCCTTCATTCCAATTGTTCTTTCCTTTTCTGCAGTTTCTTTCCCTTTCACAATATCTATTGTACCTTTCAGATTTTACTTATTGTTTTAGTTTCTTACACTAGGGAGATGATGTGATGTTTATACATGCGGGTCTGATTTATATCACTTGTGAGTATGGTCTCTAGTTGCATCCATTTACCTGTAAAAGCCTCAAGTTTATCTTTCTTTATAGCTGAGTAATACTCCATTTAATAAAAATACCACATCTCTCTAATCCATTCCTCCTCTGGTGAGCATTTGGGTTGTTTCCAAGATTTCACTATTACAAATTGCGCTGCTATACACATGGGTGCACATATGTCGCTGTGGTATGATGTTTTCAATTCTTCCAGAAAAATAACCGGAGGGGAATAACTGGGTTGCATGGGATCTCTAATCCGAGTTTTCTGAGGAATCTCCACACTGATTTTCACAGTGGCAGTACAAGTCTACACTCCCACCAGCAGTGGAGAAGGGTTCCTTTTTTCCCACAGCCCGTCCAGCATTTGTTATTGGTTGGTTTCTTGATGATAGCCTTTCTTTCTGGGGTGAGTTGGAATCTCAGTGCTGTTTTAATTTGCATTTCTTCAATGACCAGTGATGTTGAACATTTTTTCATATATTTATTTGCTGTTTGTATTTCTTCATCTGAAAGTGTGTATTCATTTCAGATGCCCATTTTTGGATTGGGTCTTAAAATTTGGAGGGCCTGTGGGGTTTTTTTTTTTAATTCTTTGTGTGTTCTAGATAGAAGTCCTTTGTCTGAGGGACAACTGGCTAAAATTTTTTCCCAATCTGTGGGTTTTCTTTTTATTCTGTTGGTGATTTCATCTGATGTTCCAGAACTTTTCAATAAGATGAGAATGCAGTTTTTGATTCTTTGGAGGACTTCTCAAGCAGTTTGGTTTTTGTTCATGAACTCTCTGTCTACCCCTATGTCTTAAGATTTCTACCTATTTTGTCCTCCAGTAGATTTAGTGTTTCTGTTTTAACATTTAGATCTTTGACCCATTTTGACTTAGTGCATGGTGATAGACATGGGTCTAGTTTTAGTCTTCAGCATGTGGAAAGCCAGTTTTTCCAACACCATTGATTAAAGAAGCTATCTTTCTTCCAGTGAACGTTTGCCCCTTTTGTCAAAGATAAGGTGGCTGAGTACATTTGTAGTTGTTTCTGCATCTTATAATCTGTTCCATTGATCCTTAGGTCTTTTTTTTTTTTTTTTTGCCAGTAGCATGCTGATTTTATCACAGTAGTTTTTGTATTATAATTTCAAGTCAGGAATTGTGATGCTTCCTACTTTACCTTTATTGCCACAGATTGTTTTTGCTATTCTAGGTCTCTTCTGGTTCCAAATAAATGTTAGGAATGTTTGCTCTATAACTGTGAGGCATACTAATGGTATTTTGATTGGAATTGCATCGAATCTGCGTAACAGTTTT